GACCAGTTCTGTTTTTCTTTAGCCCAGGTAAGACGCTTCTGATTTGGGGTTTTCATGAGCTGTAAGCCGTAATCATCTTACTTATGACACATCACGGCTTGAACTATCTTGCTTTGCATGTAATGATGCAAATGTCGTATTCCTCTTGTCAAGCCGCTCCTGAACAACAAACAACATCAGAAGCGTCTTACCTGGGCTATTTAAAACTTCCAAAGTTAAGCGTCTTACCTGGGCTATTTAAAACTTCCAAAGTTAAGATGAATAACAATGGACATCCTTGTCTTGTACCTTTTTTTTACCTCAAAGTTCTCTATGTAGTCTCCATTTACAATCACTTTCGCTGTTTGTTTATAATATATTGTTTCAATCATATTTATAAAGTTTTGTCCAAAGTCCATTATTTTTAATTGTTCGATCATAAATTGCAGGAAACATTATCAAATGCCTTCTGAGCATCTAAAAATATTAGTGCCAATTGTTTCCCTGGATGCAGTTCATAATATTCCAATATATCCATTACAAATCTTAGATTATTTTTAATTTGTCTCTTTAGTAAAAATCCATTTTGATCTCAATGTATAAACTCAATTAAAAATCTTTTCAGTCTCTCTGCTATTATTGAGGTAAAAATTTTATAATCCACATTTAGTAATGATATCGGTCTGTATTTTTTTATCTGTGTCAAATCTGAACCTTTTTTGGTATTAAAGTAATATTTGCTTCTGTCCATGTATTTGGGAATTTAGCCTCCAATAAAAGTTCATTACATACATCCTTCAATGGTACACTTAACTCCATCGGTAGCCCATCTGGTCCCGGTGTTTTCTCATTTTTTTGTCTTCTTATAGCCTTTGTTAGTTCCATCATTGTTATTTTTTCCTCTAAAATAGTTTTAAAGTTTTCTGAAATTTTTGGTAAATTATTTTCTTCCAGTTATTGAATCGTTTTCTCCTGTGAAATTTCTTCTATATCATACAATTTCTTATAGTATTCTTTAATTATCTTTTTTATTTCTTCATTTTTAAATTGTAAACAGCCTTTTTCGTCTACTAAGTTATTTATCAGTTTTTTCTCCTTCTGTTTTTTAAGTTTGTAAGCTAACCATCTTCCTGGTTTATTTGCATTTTCAAAAAAAATTGTTTTGCTCTTTTAATTGGCTGTGCCAATTTTTCTGATTCCATCAAATTTATGTTTTATTGTTTCCATTTGTCTTTTCAGTATTTTCTTTTGTGGATTTATTTGCAGTTCTAATTTTAATTTTTCAAATTCTTCCCTTAACAATGTATATTGTTGTCTTTTATCTTTGGTTTTTTTTTTTGCTGTATATGTTATAGCTATACCTCTAAAATTTGCTTTGGCTGTATCCCATACATTTTGTAATGTTGTATCTTCTTTTTTGTTTTCTTTGAAGAAAAACTCCGTTTCTTTTGTTGCTAATTCTATAAATTCTTTTTCTTTTAATATAGATTGATTCAAAGTCCATCTTAATTTTTTTTATATTCCTTTCCATGTCATTTTTAAAGGGTTGTGGTCTGCCCATGTACCTAATTCTATCTCAATCTCCTGCATAATTGTCCTTAATCCAGGTGTCATCAAAATCATATCAATTCTTGACCAGGATTTATGACTGTTTGAATAAAATGTGTATTGTAGTTTTTCTGGATTAGTTTCCCTCCAGACATCTTGTACCCCAATTTCCTCTATCATATTAAAAAAAAGTCTTAGGTAGTCTTTTCTTCCACTTTTTCCTGTTTTGCTACTTTTATAATCTAATGCCCCATCTACTATTGCATTGAAATCTCCTACTAAACAAATATTTTGATACTCCATTTCTGTTATTTTTCTATGGAGATTTTGATAGAATTCTTCTTGTTTATTATTTGGTGCATATATTACTACCAACAGTGTTTGTTTTTTATGTAAAAATATTTCTACCATCACAATTCTTCCTTCTTCATCTGAATAAATTATTTTAGAATCTATTGTCTCTTTGATATATACAGCTACTCCTCTTTTTTTCTGTTGCGCTGATGCGTGATAAAGTTTATCTCCTAGGGATCAGCTTTTGCACCACAATTTCTTTATTCTTATATTGTAATGGTTCATCTCTGACTCTTCTCAGTATCTCATCTCTTATTGCTTTCTTTATAAATCTTACATGGACTTCTCTGGGTAGTTTATATTTCCTTGCATAGCTTGAATTCATTCAAAATATTTCATCTATCTCCATTTCTATCTCTGCTCATTCTGTTTTTAAAGCCTCTGCCAGTAGATTAATAATCACTTCTGCTATATCTTTTTCTCTGTCTTCAGGAATATTTTGAAATCTTAAGTAGTGTACATCTTTCTCCATTTCCAAAGCTGCAACTGCTCCTTCTAAGTTTTGGTTTACTTGTTCTAATTTTTCATTTTCTTGCATTAGCGCTTTTTTGTCAATGTCATCTGATTTATTTTCCATTCTTTGAATTCTTTATTCATTTTTAACAATCATTTGCTGATGAACCTCAAATTGTATCTTTATATCCAGCATTTATTCGTTTAATTTATCAAAGTTACGTTTTGTCTCTTCATGATTTCTCTGTATTGATTCTTGAATTAATTTTAGTATAATTTGCATCTCAGTTTGAGCAGTATTTATTTTTTCTTGCTGCAACATTGTTTTAATAAATCCCTGGCCTGTTGGGCTAGACGTTCCAACAGAGGATGCAGAGAAAGTTTTTTTCATAAATCTAGTGAGATTTGGTGCACTCATTTTTCAATTGAGTGAGTTTATAAATCCACAGGGAGAAAAAGCAAGATTAAAAAAAAGAAAAAGGAAAAAAGCCAACTGTCTTAGGCTAAAATCCAACCATATAATGAGCCAACTACTTTAGGCTAAATCCAGATGCTCTAGTCAATTCAAAGATGTAAAAATCCCTCTGTGTCCAAATAATTCCTGTTGTAGTTATATCCAGAGTCAAAAGATATGATTGTGGAGACTCTCTTCTAGTGTAAAATCATAAAAAGCTCTTTATTTGCACCAGGTGTTGTTTCAAGGTCAAGAGCTTTTCAAGTTCTTTTAGTATTTGGTATTGCTGTAGTATCTCCTTTCACCACTAGATGTCCTTATTGTCTATATCAGGCATGTCAAACTGCCCATGGACTGGATGCATCATGCCAAAACCGCGCCCACCCCATTGCTGGCAATGGGGGAAAAGTCACGATATGTCGTGCGATGTCACGTGACATCACGAGTTTGACATGCCTAAATATATTCATATTTAGAAGATTTTTTGAAAAGTTTTCTTTTAAAGTTCTTTTTAAATTATTTCTCATAGAAATTGAATATAAAAAGATTTTCTTTAAATCAGTCCAAATTCTATTTTTAAGTATTCTTTTATATTCCTTAATTTCCTTCCCTTCTTTGTAATTTCTTGCCGCTTTCAACTCCCTTCTTCCTTGATCTTTCCGGGGTCTTTGCTTTGGAAATTTTTTCCAATCAGGGGATCTCTATTTCCAAGTCCATAAGGAAGAGGAATAAAACAATCTCACCCAGTTTCAGCATGTTGTTGACAGTCAGGTGTTTGGCAGCGCGCTGCGGCTCCTCTCTCTCTTTTTCGGCTGATGATGACTTGGACTGCCTGTTCTTACAGGCAGCCTTTCTTCCATCCCTTTGAAGAGGTTCCTCGGTTCGTTTGGACTGGCCGCCATCTGGTCCAGACTCCCAAAGCTTCCCTTCTCCTTCGTTGCCTTTCCAGGGCAACTTTCTGACCCCTTAGGGTCACCAGACAGACCGAAGTCGGGCTAAGAAGCTGGAGCCCCGGTTTCTTCCACCCATCTCCTCATAGTATCAGACTGGAAGTCTCCATATACAGATTTTCTTAACACATATATGCTTGTCAGACAATTTTAATTAATGTATGTTACCCTCTCTAATGCTCACAATTTTCTATGGAATTTCCTGTATAAACAAGTCACAAAATCTGGAGAAGAAAAATTTAATAATAATAATAATCCAGCTGGTACACTATTCCAGGAAATAGGAATTAGGGTGCTTTATCTTAAAAGGGAATGCTAAATTCTTATCATCATATACCTATATATAATAAGATGACTTGGTTTCTTACATTAATGAGCACTAGCTCTAAATTATGCCTTCTGCCTAGTTAAAATCTGAAATAAGGTTAAATAAATATTAGTATATGTGATTATCCATTTTTTTTCTTAAGAAGGCGGCTATGACTAGGTTGGAAGCAAATGCCATATAGGAACTGGATCTCCTCAGAGTAACATGGCAATGTGGTTTTAATAAATTGAATAGATGAATATAGCAAGCATAACACAATTAGGGCTGATTTTGATTATCTCATGTACCACTGAGCTTTGCACTTTTATTTCTTTTTGCTGCCATCCATTCAGTATGCACCATGCCTGAGGCAAATGGAAGATATTAATTAATCACTGTATATATTTTAGAAACCAGAAAACTCTACATACCTTGTGCTTTTAAAGAAAACAGAAATAGCTTACCTCATCATAATATGCTCTTAAATCTGCTCTTTTTGATCTTAAATCCCATAATACTATGGTCCCATTTTCGTAACCTATTAATAACTGAGGAAGAGGGAGAAGAAAGAAAACACAATCAAATTGTCAAACTAATATGTTTTAAGAATATTTATTATAAAACACATGCGGCAAATTCAACACTTCCCGGTAATTTTGAGGCTCACAAAAATGCCACATAACTTCACCTCATCTGCTGTGAATCTTTCTGGAGGAACAACTTTGTTTACTCTTTCAGACCTTCTTTTTTTTTTTTTCAATATAAAATTTTTATTGTTTTCATCATAAGAAAAGAAAAACATCACAAATGTTACACAATGCTATATGAAAAAAAACCCCACCCCCCACCCCCCCGGACTTCCCAAACCTAATCCCAGGATAATATTCAGATATAAGTAAACAAATATTAATATCTCTAACTCCACAAAGTGTATTATTCTACATGAATAGGTGAAATATATTAAAGAAAAAAAAAGAAAAACAGATTTACTGGAAACCTAGGTTATATTCCACCACTCTATGCTTCTTTTAAATATAAACAATCCATCTTCTCCATATTATCCTTCTAATATATCCTTTAGCACCGTCCCTTACTTGTTTCAAAAAATTCCCATCTTCCATAGAAAAAATCATTCATTGAGATTAATTTTCCCTATCACAAATAGCTCTTCGTCTCTCTCNCAGATTTACTGGAAACCTAGGTTATATTCCACCACTCTATGCTTCTTTTAAATATAAACAATCCATCTTCTCCATATTATCCTTCTAATATATCCTTTAGCACCGTCCCTTACTTGTTTCAAAAAATTCCCATCTTCCATAGAAAAAATCATTCATTGAGATTAATTTTCCCTATCACAAATAGCTCTTCGTCTCTCTCTATTACAACATAGTTATCATATTTATAATAATAATGTAAGTCCAAAAAATACATTTCTATTTTTAAAAAATATATTCTATCATTTCATCAATCTACATCTATAAAAAATCTTTTTATGCCCTTGATAAAGTTTACACCTTCAAATACTTATCAACTATAATATCAGAAAATTCCCATCCATTCATAATTAAATCAAACAAATTCTATCTATTACAACATAATTATCATATTTATAATAATAATATAAGTCCAAAAAATACATTTCTATTTTTTTTTTTAAAATATATTCTATCATTTCATCAATCTACATCTATAAAGTCTTTTTACCCCCTAAATTACTCCCTCAAATACTTATCAACTATAATAACAGTAAATCCACATCCTTCATTCGTTATTAAATCAGAAAAAATCTTTAAAGCCTTTTTAACCCATCAAATAACATTTTATGTCACGTTTAAACCTGACTCTAATTTTCTTTCTATGCCAAGTTGATTCCCATATTAAAGCTTTTCGGTTATCAAACCTCAAGATTTGATTACAAAAATTTCTAATCAATTCAAACTGAACAAAATTTTCTTCCCTTTCTACCAATATCATCTGAGTATTATATTGACTTTTACTCGATATTATGAATAAATTATCCACTTTATTGTATTTTCTAGAAGGTTGTGTCTGAATATCAATCTTTGTTATTTTTAATAATTGAACTGAGTCAATTGCAGTTACTTCTTGATCATCAAAATTATCCATCAGTTGTAGGTAACGTTTTGTGGAATTAGTTGGCTCAGTAGTTTCCACATTTTCTCCCAGTATAGATTCACAATTGGATTGTAAGCATAGTGTCTCTGTCTCTTTAAATTGTATATCTTGATATGTAAAAGCCTGTTCAGGATTACTCAGTTCATCTTCTATTATTCCTTGTTCCATAACTTGATTCATTATTAGAGAGTCGATGTGAGGTTCCAAAGTAGCCTCTATTTTTTCCAGTATTAAATCATAGTCAAGATGTGGATAACTTTCATCCACTGCCACCGCATCTACAAATTCAGCCAAACCTTGAAAAGCAGTTGCCACATTCAAACAAAAATCCTCATGTTTCTGTGATAAATCTTGTTGTTGTTGTAATAAGTCCTGTTGTTGTTGTATTACTTGGTCAAATCTATTTTGCATTTTAACATCCATCGCTTGAAACATCTCAGTCATTTGTTTAGTAGTTACAGACATCAAGTCCTGCAGCTCTCTACCAGAGNGTGGCGGCGGCTTCTAGCTTCGCCGAAGCGAAGGCGTCCTGGATCGCGGAGAAACCTCGGGGCTCCGGAGGAGTTCTCACCTACATCGTCCACATGGGACGACTCGGGAACTCAACTCCTACCCCGGGCAGCTCACCTATCCCCTTATGCCCAGGGGAAGGGTATCAAGCCGTTTGACAGCTGATGCTAGCTGTCAAAATGGCTTTTACGCTGAAACAGGCGGGAGGCAGCAAACAGCTGCGTCCGACGAAGTCGCCTGCCACCGGAAGTCCCCCTCTTTCAGACCTTCTTAACTGTTCCTGTTTCACTAGGATCTCTCTTTTTAAACATTTCTCTGAGCTGTACCTGGATTTTTGTTCAACGTGCCTGTGGGAATGCTCATCCACTGGAGACTTCTGACTAACAGGCATTAAAACTTCAGTATTTCCCAATTCTCATGTTCTGAAAAATTTGCAGAACGTGAAATAATAACATTTTTGTGTCCATCTGTAAATCTATACGTCTTTGATCCTGCCTTTCTTTCTCAACCACTGTTGAAACATGTAAAACATGAACTCGGTACCTCTATCTGTTTGTAGTTGACATACACTTTGATTATACTTCCTCTCTACAAACATTATCCACTGCTTAAATTGTTGAAACACTTCTGTTTTGCTTTATAGTAAATAACAAAATAAATATCTAGAGAAATCATCAACAATTACCAAAGCATATTTGGCACCTCCCATTGTTGGGGATAGAGGACCAATTAAATCAGCATGTACTAACTGCAAAATTCTATCAGATTTCCTATCACTTCTTTTGCTGACAGGGTATACTTTCAATTTTGCCTCTTTGCAAATAGCGAAATCCAAATAATTGTCACAATCTTTTGCAATCAAAACTACAGCCGGGTCAGGCATTTTCTCAATACTTTAATGCTTGTATGACCCAGCCTTCTGTACAATAAATATGCACACTCATTATGCTTTGGTTCATTAGAAAAGATTGTCTGTACACTGTCACCAGTTTCCTTGTGGTTCAAAATGTATAAGTTGTTTAGTTTCAAACCTTGTGGAAATACCCTGTTATTCTTTATGACCTTGCATGTACCCTTTGCAAAAATTACCTCATACCCTTCATTGTCTAAGCGAGACACACTCAGAAATTGTGATCTAAATCTGGTACACATAAAACCTTATCAAACGATTTACCAATACATAGTACATATACTGTGCCTTGCCCCTGTACAAAATAATGATTATCATTTGCCAGGCTTACATATTCCTGGGTAGCTGATCCCAGACTAGAAAAAAGTTTTGGGTTATTTACAATATGCTCACTTGCTCCACTGTCCAACAACCAAATGTCTTTGTTGTTTTTGTTATTTGCCTTCACCACAGAAATCTGTGCCTTCTTTTTTCTGTCTCTCTGCTTTCTCTTTCCTGCTTGAATCTTTTAATTTTCTTACTGGGCAATTTCTCTGGATATGCTGAGTGGATCCACATGCAAAGCAGTGTTTCACTACACAAACTTCCAGCTTGTTTTCTCACTGGAAAATAGTTTCTTTCTGTCTGGGCTGCAAATTACTGTGGTTTCTTTCTAGCATTTTCTGTTCTTCTTCCAAACGTTTCCCAGTCACATACCTCATAGTTTAATCACACTCATCCATGGACTCAATACTTATTACTAACACGCCCCATGTATCACGCGAAGTATTAGTACCACTTTATAAAATCCTAGTAAGACCACACCTGGAATACTGCAGTGTAAAGATAAATTTAAAAAGAAGTAAACTGTCTCTCCTAACTAACTTAGTGCAGCTGAACACGTCACTGAACTGTGAAAAGTTCAAAGAGGCATATTAATTCAAGATGTTCAGCTTTGGGTTTCTCACAGAGAATTTTCTATAATTTTCTATTCTTTATCAGAACAGTTTTGTCAAGAGCAGATATCCATATTCTGGCAGGTTCACTTCTAGTGTTTCTCTACTGATGTTTAAAGCATCATTTCCTCCTTTCCTTCATGAATTGGTGAATAGCAAGTAGTATCTTGGGAATGATTGAGCCAACTAAGACAAGTGCTGGCCAGATTTTTAGGAAACTCCCCACATACTCTCCAAGGCTTCTTGGGAGCCCTCAGATCATCATAATAGATTCCTCAGTCTCAACTGGATTATGAAGTGATCTGGATGAATTTCTTGTCTGGCAATGGGGCCTATCTAGAAGGTATTCTGAGATGAAACTCAGGATATTCAGGAGCGCTTCTACGTCATGAAATTGCAACTCTTCTCTGTAAAGGATTCTTCAAGTCCATGAAAGTAATGGATTATGTATGTATGGGATGAGGAATATGCGCTTAGTGTTAGCAAGTGTTCATACTTAAAAAATTCATTACTGAGGAGATTAATAGAAATCATAAAAAAAACACCTCTTATAATATTCTCAAGGCTGGTCTCCAAATATTACTTTGCCTTGTGGTCAGAGCTCACCTTTATAATTTAATTGCAAAGAAGCTCTCATATTAATTTACAATTATAATTTGAAGAATAAAAATTTATAGACAGAAAAATCACGAGATCCACAGATGTATTTTTAAAAACTATATTTCAGCCATGTAAGAAATGACACTACAAATGAAACATTGTAACTTTCAGTTCTTCTGAAAGTTTGCTAGACATTTTTTCTTTGAAGTCTATTAAATATTTTAAAAACCCCACCAAATGGACTTTTTTCAATATTTTCAATCAAGCAGGTCATCTGGTGAATACCATTTGATGACTGAAAATCTCTAGCAATTAGCTATGCAGCAATCTCTGTTCCTTGATCTGTGTTTTAAGAACACCATAAAAGAGGCCTGACTAATATATCTATTTAAGAAATATTACTCTCAGGAATCAATCTAAATAACCACCTGCAAAAGGAGCATAAAAGTTAATCTATCTAGGAGAAGGTATTTCAAAATGAATCCTAGAAGGCAATGGCAAAGCTTCCGAGAATCTGTGATTGGGAAGGCATACAAATCCTGTAACAGTACACAACTTTTTAGTGGTATGAAGTCTTCAGATCTAAACTGGCAAGCATGCTTCAGAAATTTCAAGGCTTCTCATTCCTTCAGTTTGGCATCCATCATGAAAATGACATAGTCTGGTTCTTGGTTTAATAAGTCTTTGATAGGGAGTATTCTGGTCCACCATTTCAGCTAAGCTTTAGAAAGGATTGTGAATACAGGATATCGATTAGAGAAAACTTCCATTTGTTAATCCAAGAGATATCTGGATTTTTCTCTCAAGTTTAGAATTGGAATAGTAATCTAAATATTAAGAGATACTTAATGATTGCCAAAGTTTTTAAATGCTTTTATAGATACTTTGCATGGAGAATTCAAAGTATCTTTCATGATTAAATGGATTAGATGAACAGATGGTTTTTAGTAGGTGGTAATGGTAATTGGACTCCTGGTTCCCTTCTTGGCTTGCTGAGTTTAGGCATCCAGCTGGTGGGAAGATAGGCAAAAAAAGCCTGTTTTGTTTCAAAGATCACTTAGTTGACTTTTTTCGTGGTATTTTTCTCATCAGCTTCTATGGGTATGTAATTTAGGGATTGACAAAATATATATCTACTTAAAGAAGGAGTTTTCTTTCAGATGTTTTGCCTTCATTTTTCATTAGTTATGGAACTGAAACAAGTTATTTTTACTAGTTATGGAGCTAAATATTTATCTACCAAGGAAGACAGAGAGTTCTGGTTTTCCTTCTTTAATTGGACTGGCATTCTTGGACTATCTCCAGGGTAGCTCAGCGGCCAGTTTACTTGAACTTTCTCTGGAAGACCACTGGAGTCTGTCTTTCTGATCTTGGAGAGGCAGCACCTCTGATCTGACTGTCATTTTGCTTGTAAGGGGAGGGGGAATAAAAATTTAAATCAATATTTATATTGAAACATATTATAATATTTTATTTATAGATTAAACAGCATTAAGCAAAACAAAATAAACTGATTGAAAGTACATATTTATAATGAACCAACAGCCTACTTACAAAATATTAATATATACATTGCACATTTCAGAAGTATTTGTTGTATTTGTATGTTCAGGTCAATAAAATCTCTGTTTAATAAAAACTTATTTAACCTTACCCAAAAGGAAAGTGCATTATTTTTTCTCGATAATATTGTATTGTCCATGGCATTTCATACTTTTTATGGATACTTATGTATTTAAGTTGTCCAATTAATTGTAGCAAAAGGGAAAAGCTGCTAAAACAAAAATACTGAGAAATACTTGAATTCTTCTTACTCACTTTCCCTTCATCTCTTGGGCTATCACTCAGATGCACAACAGGCCCAGGGTGAGTCTTTATCGATCTGCAAATCAAAATTGAGACTATAAAAATCAAGTACAATTTATTTCTGTTTCGTAAACTTAAACAGTTCGGACAAAGGTGACTGTGGCTGTGGATTAAGGGAATTAGAGTCAAAAACAGCCGAAGGATGCCAAATTGTAAAAGGGATTCTAATAAAGCAATTATCCAGGAATGAACAACCAAAATCTTTCATCTCAAGTCTGTATGTTACTCATGCTCCTGTAAACATCCACCACAGGTCCAGGCTATATTTATTTATTTATATCCTGCTTTTATTTTTATATATTTACATATATCAAGACAGCGAGCATACCTAATACTCCTTCCTTCTCCTATTTTCTACACAACAACCCTTTGAGGTGCGTTAGGCTGAGAGAGACTGGCCCAAAGGCAGCACTGGAACTCAGAGTCTCCTAGTTCCAAGCCTGGTGCCTCAACCACTGACTAGGCCAAACAGGCTAGCTTGGCAGCTTCTGCTTGATGAATTTGGTGCAAGGACAAAGGGTTGCAATTCTGTCTGCTATTTTTTTCTGTTTAACTTAATCACTTTTTTTCCTATTTCAAATTACGCCTTTTCCGTCAGAACCACCTCGTGGCACTTGCACAGATCTCAAGAGGACTGGGCTCTAAGCATTATTACTAAAAGGGTGGGCAACCTACTGCTGAAAGGTAAGCCTTTTTCTGTGACTCTTAGAAAATGGGTTGTCTCATACACATATATAATGTAATGTATATAATTATAATGTGTACTCTGTTTAACATTGGGATACTGTTCTTTTTTATCCCATCTTTTTCATATATAACTCAAGGCAAGGAACATACCTAATGCTCCTACCCATCTATTTTTCCACAACCACCACCCTGTGAGGTGGGTTGGGCTGAGAGAGAGGGGCTGGCCCAAAGCGCCCAGCATTTTCATGCCCAGAGGAGGCCTCAAATTCACTGTCTCCTGATTTTTAGGCCAGCACCTTAATTTCTGCACCACACTGGCTCTCAAACCAAATTTGATTTTTAAACTAAATCAGACCAAACCTATTGCTCTCACTAACAATTTCAAAATAATTTAAAAAAATACCTTAGTTTCAAATACACAGTATTTATAGAGAGAACTAACTGTAAGACACTGACATGGAAACTGAACTATGCAACACACTGAGATGTCTATTCTGCATCTACCACACTGGCCTGGACCCCTAACACCTTCATGGACAAAGGTCAGGAAGCCTTCACAAGGTCTTCTTCTTCTTCTTCACATGTGGGTTTTGGCTTAATTTGAATGTGTGTAAAAATTTTAACCATTTATCACAAATCTGACTGAACCAGCTAGATAAATTCTCTATATGAGGATAAAAATGACAGGTTAAGGAATTCTGGGAAGTGAAGTCCATATATCGTAAAGATGCCAAGGTTGAAAAACACTGTCCTAGATATTGAGCTGAAAGCCTGCGCAGAGTGTACAAAGGCAGAAGATAAATCTGCTTTAGAGAACAGCATAGATTTTTAGATCTAATAGTGAAGCATGAAGGTCCAATCCAAAGTGGGCTTGGCTTGTTCTAAAGCCTGCCTGTTCAGCTGCCAAGATATTCTCTCCCTCCAGACTGGCCGACAGCTTTTACTACAGAATTTTGCTATGGAACTTCTACCCTTCTTGAAATTAGGATAATAAAGGCCAGGTTCCTCTCTTTAGTTACACAAACTAATCTATCAATATAAGTAAAGAGTGAATTTAACTGTATTGCTCAGAATCAATTCAGGGGGGATTAAATCTCCTTCTAGGGACTTTTGAATTTTTTGTTGTCTAATTAGTTTGTATTTTTCTGAAGCTGACTTATGAGGTATCTGCGGTAATGCAAAATTTTTCCACAGACTGCTCTGAGAAATGGTCCTCCTAGATACTTGCAGGCTAAAGCAGCCTAGGAAGATGCTGGAAATCTCCAGCAACATGGCTTGCTATTTAGGTCTTGCTGTTACAATTAATTGTTCCCAAGCAGCTTGCACAGCATGCTTTGCTTTGACTGCTCATATGGATGATAATGCCTCCACTGAATGATTAGCTCTATAAGGAATAATTCCAGTAGGCCCTATAAATGGCACTGTGTTTGGTTTCTCTTCCTTTATTTTCTTGCAAACAAGTAATCCTGATCAGACTAATCCATTAAACTATGCTGATTAACATGTTGCTGCTTAACGTAAAAAATAATAATTGCTCTCTTCTGGCTGAGCTGAATCTGCCTTTTTTGTTATGGGTAGGTTTTGATTCAGGGCAGATTTTATTTATTTGTACAATTTAGAGGCCGCCAGACTTTAGATGACTTTGGGCAGCTTATAACAAATCAAATGAAATCTTTATTACAGTCATAGATCAGCAAAGGAGGGTGGGATACGAACAATTAGTATTTTGTTGTAGAGATAGGGGCCAGGTAGAGGTCGTGAGCAGCAAACTGCCCTTCCAACGCCTGCATGCCTCTTCTCTCTACATGATCTCATCCATTCACATCACCATGGCAATGTGGGAAACTACCCCAGGCTGGTACATGATATCACCTGGTTCACATGATATCAGCTAGGTTACATCAACAGGATGTGGTAGAAAACTGCTCCCTGTCTGGGGCCTCCTAGCTTGTATATTCTTAAGGATTGGCAAGGGGTTTCACCAATAGAAATGCTGTTGCTATGCTGATGCCATGTTAAACTTTATGCTATTTGGAATACCTGTATATAAAGAATAAACGCTGCAAAGGCAGTCAGCCATATTTGCATCCTGCAATGACTGAGCACTGATTACTACATTTTGTTTTTTAAAGAAACTAAAAGATGCACCAACATAGGAAGAATGGGATATCCAATGTAAAAAAAAACAACATTAAAGTATAATTAAAAAAAGAAAAAGCCCTAAAAATATTAAAAGTATATATAAAAACAAGAGTTTAAAAATCTAAAAGAAGGGATAAAAAAAATGAATGTAGGGGAACATAAAAGTTTATGGCCACCTAAATCTTTCACAACAGAAAATACTCTTCAGTAACAAACTTTTAGCAAATGGACAGAATTCAAAAGTTGAGTCCAGGATGTTGCTTGCATTTGTTGACTACAGTATCTTAAACCAGACAGTCTGATTTCTCTGTCTGTGAATATCCCAGTCTGCTGAATAAAGATCCAGATTTTACTGGAAGCTGCTCACAGTCTCAATAACAAGCAATTATAAAAATTAATCAGAGAAGGCATATAATTCACAGTGCTTATTTTAGACCCAGACCAAAAAGTAATTTCCTTGGACTATCTAACAGGCTCCTAAAACTAACTCCTATCCACTAATAATTTTAAGAGAGAGATATTTATTTTTGCATGCAAAAAGCTCCTGTAAAATTGCATTAGGGCTAGGAGAACTAAATGTAAGACTCTGGGAACCAAATTTGAAGCTCCTGCCTATAAGTGCACTTTATGAGCTACATCCCTTATATTTTAAATTTAAGAGCAGGAAATGTATGACAATAGGGAGTAGGCTGAACCTTTGAAGGATATGTGTGGGCTGCTCTATGTCACAGTGTTTTTTTTCTCTCTGAAAAAATACATGCAAGCCTGAACAGATGCTACTGAAAATAGAACTGTGTGGGGTAATTGCCTGAGTTCTCTCCAGAAGTCTCCTTCAAATAATCTGGCCTTGAAATAATTGAATAATTAACACTAACTTCTTTTAGAAGACCCACACATCTGATCCCATACTTATGCGAAAACAATCCTACAATTATATTCTGTGCCTAATGCAGGATGAAGTTGAAAAGTGTAAAACAACTTTTCACTTGGTTGTCTTATTAAGAGTATTGTAGTGCTACCTCCTCAGAGGCCGCCAATGCCCAGGCCCTCCCAGCCACGTCCCCCCTTGTCCAGCCTTGCAGCAATGTTCTTTAGAGATCGATGAGATGTCTTACAACCGGAGCTCACGCAGCATTAATGGGTGGCAGGCTCTTCTTGTTGAAGCAAGACTTTCAGGCACGAACTTAACCAGTCTCAGTGGTTGATGCTCTGAAGATGTATATAACAGCTCAGGGCTGCTTTAGCAGCAGGAGTAGCAGGCCCCTGAGCAATCGTTCAGAATCCGATGAAATGGGGGGGGGG